GGAATATGCTATGTATGTGGTTTGGAAAAGTAAATAGGACTTAAAGGAGTAAGGTTATGGTATGGATTAGATCTCTTGGTGAGATCAGGATATAATCTTTGGAAAAATATGAAATTTGGGAATCCCATGGTGAGGATTCCAATGTGGAACTTTTCCAAAGGTTATATGATAAACCACTTCAGATGTTAGGTGGATTCTGAAGTACTCCTTTAAGTATTCTATTTGCTACCGGTATGGGGGCAAGGCCGAGTCATACCGATGGATGAAGTGGCCATGATCACCAGGGTTACGTGACGACGTAATCCAACTGTATATTTTCCATGAGAGGTTAGGTGTGGGACATGGGTTGCTGACATGTTTCACCGTATCAACACTTGGTTTGGATGGTGTTGAGGCCAACATTTGGTTTGGATGTGTTGGTTACATCATGGATTATACAGTGGTGTGACTTTGTTTTGGATATGGAATATGTATACATATGGTATGGATTGTATACATTGGTTATGGATTATTTTATTATCATAAAATATGTATACATTGGCATGGACGTGTATACATTATATTTTGGGTTGGTCTATATTTAGATTGAAAATGACTTGTTGGTCTGGATAAATACTGTGGATAAATATTTGTTTAATGATATTTTATTATGATATACTATGGTTGGTTTTATATGTGCTAACCCTTATGTTTCCATGTGGTTTGGACTGTGATGATCTCACTATGTGGGGGAGCAGATCAGGTGTGAGGCCTTGGGATAGCAAGGAGTCTTTTGGGGTAGCTGCTTTGAGAAGTGGCTAGACGTAGAGCTTGACCAGCACCTAGGGTGTCTAACTTATATTTCATGATGTTACTATTGGATTACTGTATAATTTTACTAAGAATGACTCTGATATAATTATGTTTGATATTATGAAACAATTTTTACACTCTAGCGTAGCTGGCTTTTGCTCTATTTTCTTTATTTTATATTATTTTATTTTGGCTGGTTATTAATGTGACGACCTAGGGTGGGTCGTTACAGTAGCTCTCCAACTATTGATAGTAGTAATGTTGGTAATGATGCCTTATCTGAGTATGATATATACATTATGAGGAAAAAAAGAGCTAGAATTTCTTTTGTTAAAACAGAGTTAGACCATTATTTAGAGGAGGATGTTTTTACCAAGAATTGCTGATTTTGATATTTTGATGTAGTGGAAGTTGAATGGTATCAAGTATTCAACACTCCAAGCAATTGCAAAGGACATTCTAGCTATTCCTATATCTACAATATCTTCAGAATTAGCATTTAGTACTGGTGGTCAAATTTTAAGTCCTCATCGTAGTCAACTTCATTGGAGCATTTGGAGGCCTTAATGTGTATTAGAAGTTAGTTATGGAGTGTTGAAACTTCTATTTTGTTTAAGATAATGCATTTAAAAATTTATTAAATGTTTGTATATTTTTATTTTATAAACATTCTTTTTATTATATTTGATATTTATAGGTTATGAGAATTCTAAAGTAATCCATGAATTTCCTATTTTACTTGATGAAATAGGATTGGATGATGAAGGTAATGTTTTATATTATTTATTTTAATGAGTTATTTACTTTACTCAACAATTTTATATTTATTTTTTTAATGTATATTAAATATTTCTTTTGTTTTATGTAGATGAAATGATGGAGGATAGTGACATTACTTTCCATTTGGAAGATGATCAATAAATGAAAGATGTATGGTGGGATGATGAATTGGAATTGTGTTACTTTTTATTTGTATTTAATAAGTTTAAATATTGTATTTTGTCTAGTTGCCTTGGTGGTATTTTGTAATTTTGTTGGATTGAGACAACTTTATGATATTACTACAAACTTTGTTGAATTGGAAAATATGGTATTTCGTCATAATTAAAGTTTATAAACATCATCTACGTACAAAATGCATAACAATACTAGAAAAAATGTTGTGCCATTTATATTAAATTATCAATAATTTTGATGTCATAATTTAATATAATTAGATAATAGCAAAATGTATTAAATATTATTTAAACTATTTGAGAGATATTTTGACTAAAAAGAATGTAAAAATTTGTATTATTTTACTTTTTCTTTTATTTTTTTAAATTTTTTTATTATTTATTAAAACAGAAGAAAAATATTCTAAGAGTGGAGGTGGGACCCTGAACTCGGTCAGAAGCGTGGATGAATATCCAGATTTTACCCCTAGCGACTATCGAGAATGGGGGGCTGGAGCAAGGACAATTTAAACCTATAGGAACGCCCCGCCCCTTTGCCATGCCTACCCATAAAGATTCAAGACAAACGTACTGTGCAAGATATAGGGTAATATGGGTAGCTACAAATATAGATAAAATTTACAAGTACTTCAACAAATTTACTTTCTTTAAGAACTATCTATGCACGTTGTACTGGAAAATTCACAAATATTTTTTTCTTCCCACAACTTAAATCTCTAATAATTACTATTGTTATAGACTTCAAATTATAACTATATCTATTGATATGTTGGCCCACTATCAAACCAACTTCTTAATTAAAAAATAAAAAAAAGAGCATTTTAAATAATATATCTCTTCAATTCTCGTTGCTAATTATAAATCAAAACCTCATCATTCCCGCTATCACAGGAGAAAATAATTACTTTCATCTTTGTCAAATTATAATATTTGATAAAATTACTACTTTATAGATTTCAAGATTTTATATTTGTTAATTATACATTTATATATATATATATATATATATATATATATATATTTATATAAAA